ATATACATGGCAAATTCTAAAATGCATTTAGAAATATTAAGGAGCTAGAAAAGTCAAGGTAATTTTGAAAAAAAAGCAAAGACAGAACACTCAATTAACTATTTAAAGATTATTCTAAAAATATGGTAATAAAGATAGGACAGACACATAGATTCATATGATGAAGTAACTAGAAATAGGTCACACAATCACTGAAAACTATTTTTTGCAATTGCTATGACATTTAAGTGGGAAATGGCTAATTTTTGCAATAATTTTTATGATGTAACTAGATATCTGTATGTCAAATAAGCTATACCCCGTACCTTATCTGAAACTTCACTGTAAATGAATCATATACTTAAATATAAAGCATAATAAAACTATTAAAGGAAATCAGATGAAAATCTTCATGACTTTAGGCAAAACTATGGTATGATACCAAAAAATACAATCATAACAAAAAATTAATAAATTTTTGTAATAAAAATGCTTACTAAATAAAAATCATGGGAACATTAAGAAGACAAATTGAAAACTGGAAGAAAGTATTTCCAAGTCACATGCTGACAAAGATACTCTTGTGTATGATGTAAAAAGTGCACTCATCTAAAACAAGAGGTCAAAGACTCTAAAAAGTGATTGCTAAATAAGACATTCAAATGAAAAACGAGCAAATGAAGATAATCAACTTTGGGTAAATAAAATAAAATAGAACCATTAAGGAATATATGATTTTGAACAATAATTATACACATAACCATACTAGCAGGCTAAAAAAGTACCACACTGAAGGCTGGCATCACTGGCAAGACGTGGGTCTCAGAGAATGTTCATAGACTACTGAATGGAGTTCAAAAGTGGGACAGTCACTGTTGGGCAACATTTTGACAGCTACTTGAGAAATTAGTAAGGTTATTACATAAGCCAGGCAATTCCAATACTGTATTTTCATCAAATTTTTCTTAAAAGTTTTAGTAAGGCTAGTACATACATGTATATGAATGTTTATAACAGCATTAGTCATAATTGCCAACAATTAGAAATAGCATTCTTTTACCAATTAGAAATAACATTCTTCTAATAATGTTAAAATGAATAAACAAATTGTGACACACTTACACAATAAATCATTGCAAACCAATAGAAATATACTATGGATGTTCCATCTCTTAGATGGCTTTCAGGGGCATTACAGTTGAGTAGAACAATATCTCAAAAGTTCACGGTAATTATATAACATTCTGGAAAAAGACAAAACCATAGTAATAGAAATTAGGTAAGTAGTTGCAACTAAAGATAGAGTATGGTTATTAAAGAGAGGAAAGAGAGTTTTCCAGGTAACGAAACTTATGTATCTTGCTTATAGTACTTTTTCAGGAATCTAAAACAGATTTTAAAACTCATGTAGGTCTAGGGAATAAGTCAATGCGTTGAAACACATGCCTTGCAAGCATAAGGTGGCAAATACAATCCCTGGTACCACCACATGTGCAAATCTGGAAGCTAACTTCTTTGAGACTGACAACAATGCAGTTCGTGATTTCTGGTCACAGATGGTTTCTGTTCAAACCACCCCATAACCATCTGTGTGTGCACCACAGCTAAAGGTGTGTGACTATACCCTTTATGTCATGAGCACCTCCCCAAAATGTTTGAGAACCTTGATCAGGAAATGCAACCTTAGGAGAGCAGCACTGTGCATATTTCAGTGATCCCTGTAAGCATTACAATGAGAATGTGTCTGAATATCACAATTAAGGGCTGGAGCGATAGCACATGGGTAGGGCATTTGCCTTGCATGCAGGCAGCCCAGCCGAGCCAGGTTCGATTCCTCTGCCCCTCTCAGAGAGCCCCGCAAGCTACCGAGAGTATCTCGTCCCCATGGCAAAGCCTGGCAAGCTACCTGTCGCGTACTCAATATGCCAAAACACAGTAACAACAAGTCTCAAAAAATGGAGACATTACTGGGCCTGCTCGAGCAAATTGATGATCAACGGGAGGACCACAATTAAAGAGCTCAAACCCTGTCAGGCACATGTTTGAGTACCACAATTAAGAGTGCAGCCCTTGGTGAGTATCAAAATAGGTTATGCAAGAATCACAACTAGTGTGCTATCCCCACAAGTACCGTCGCAAAAATGTATAAGGTCTGCAGATAGGTGCGTGGGAAATCCAGTCCTGGAAGCAGCAATAATGAAAGGAATAAAAAAGAAAACAAACAAAATATATTTAAAAAATCATAGATCTTTATACATCATAAAGGAAATTTTACTTTATGTATATTTAATTATCATGCCAAATCAGACATTTTAGAGGAAAAATTTTATTAAGAATTCATCACGGAGCTAGCTCAGGGGTTAAGACATATATATATGCCAAGGCCCCAAGTTCAACTCCTGAAGCTGTAGGGCCTCTGATCAGGTATGGCCCTGATGACTTCTAGTATCAATGACCCAAGAAGTACCATATTAGTGGGTCTTATTGAATCATTCAGCCTGGTTGTCTAAGTCTCTCTAGGAGTGGCCCCTGAACCCACTAAGTGCTGCTTGGAAGCCCCCTCAATGACTTTAATGTCATGACACAATTAATTTATATTTGTATTCATCTGCACCCAGAGATAGCTAGCACTCGGGGTGCTAGGTGGTTGCGCCCAGCGTTATGGTGCTGAAACTCATCAGTGTCAGCCATTATGGTCGCTAAAATCCACAGTATGCAGGGACTCACAAAGCAATTTTTGGGGAAGTCAAAAAGAGCAAGGGATCCAATTCACGGTCTCCATGTGTTCTACCACTAAACCCAGCTCCCTAGCCACATTATTTTGTAATTGAAAATAGAAATACAGAACTATCAGCACATTATAAAAGTCATCTCCTCTTGGGCTTAATGGAGTTCAAAGGATCAACACGCATGTCCTGCATGCAACTGACCTCAGTTCCATTCCTAGAAATGCATGGCCTCCTAAGCAACACTGGCTGCAATCCTAGAGGACCCTGAGCATCTCTGGGGTGACCAGTTAATCCCAGGTACCCTAGGGCTGGAGCAAAACTGCATCTTTGGGTTCTAGAGTTGAAATAAATATTAGCTCAGTCACCAGGAGTGGCCTCCAGAGCCTCTCAGCACCGCTTGGGAGCCTCTTACCCCTAAATAAACCCTAAATAAAAAATATTGAGCTGGCAAAAACAATTGTTCTCTAAATGCTGAAGGGCTTGTAAAAATAAAACAGTGAACAAAGTATTTTTATACTTAGAAATCTGGAGTTCATCTCATTGATGGGAATCCTGTAGCAAATAAATGTTTTGATATATCAAATGTTTTGATATATCTGACATATCTAATACATAACTTTTTACATAACTTTATATGATATATATCATACATAACACATATATGATAGGAACTTCATACATATGAATATTAGAAATACATGTGCACTATATATGCATACATAGTGAATACACAGCATACCTGTATCCCTGATTTTGGTAATATTTGTGGTTCAGAGTAACCCAGAAAACATAAATACTTTATTTTAATACTTTTTCTGTTTTGGTTTTGGTTTTGTTTTGTTTTAAAACATTCACAGCCATTTTCAGGGCTTATTCCCAGATCTGTGCTCAGGGATAACTCCTGAAAAGAAAACTGAGGGGAACAGATGTGGTGCCAGAGGTCAATAATGGAGTACAAAGTAGGCCCCTTACCTGCTGTACTATCTCTGCAGACCACTAATTTTCATTTCAAATAGTTTTTCCCTTACAGTTTAGAATTTTGTTAGACCTAGGGTTATCCCTGGTTTTCCAAACCATAACTTTCTTCAACAATTAAAGTTAATGATGTGTCAATTCCATTAATTGCTCCAAATAACAGCAAAACACCTAACTCACAAAAAGTAATATGCAATCTATATCTGTTACATTTTGATACATCTCAAATGTTTTCTAAAACCATTAATCATAGAATGAAAGTTGTGGCATTAAATAGGCCTGGTTCTATTCCTGATAAAAATCTATTATTATTATTATTTGCCTGAAGGAATACCATTATTTCAGCCCAAGACAGCAAAGTAATTTACTGGCAACTTTAGAAAACTGATAACTGTCCCCCTTGGAATCAACTGCTTCATGTACTAAGACCAAAATATCCTTCAAAGTACTAATTTAACTCTCCAGAGGTCTCAAGCACAAAAGAATCCGGGAGCCATCAGGAAACCAAGCAGAGAAGCAAGGAACATGATAACCCAGTTACAGACACGCAGATTCAAATGGAAAAACCTCCCACACAGCACAAAGTAGTACACATCTGTGGGCAGCATTTAGTTGGTGACATCTCAGCTTTTGGTAGCTATACTTGCCTTATTTTTCTAGTTAATCATGACAAAGGGCAGAGCTTTATTATTAATTTGCTCATTGTCTCATTTGGGGATTTGGGGGAGTTTGCTTGAATTTGGATTTTACTTGCAGCAAAAAAAAAAAATATGATAATAGACTTACAACACCAAGAGGAATGTTAAGGACATAGTAGATAGGCAACTGCTATCATCTTTGGATTTTTATGGTCTGATGATGATGATTAGGATACATTCAGCTTGTATTATTATTAGTTTTTACTTTTTCACTTTTTTTATGTTATTTTTAGTCCACATCCAGTGCTCTCAGAGATGCTCAGGACTTACTCCTGAGTGCCATGTAGTGTGCTTACAGACCACTCCTGACAGTGTGAGGGGGTTATTAGCAGTACCAAGGTTTGAAACTGAGTCAGATGCACGTGCCTTATCTGCTACAACTATCTCTTCAGTCCAACATTCTTTTCTTTCATATGGTACTATACAGTATCCTTATATACATGGCAATTAGAACTTCTGCAACTTACCCATATTCATCTCATTTGTTATTGCTTATTATGTATAAGTGCATAATGCTTTTTATTTTGGTGCTTTGAGTCTGCAAATTATGAAACATTTAAGATATCTAGAAACTTCCTTTCACTAGAGGCGTACTTTACAGCTTCTAAAATGAAAAACAGGGCTATTTAAGTATTCAATATTTACTTTATTTTAAATACCAGCACAACAAACACAATGACATAACAGGACCATTATCACCTCGATAATACTGATAACATTCCAGAACAAATTAGCTAGTAATTTACATCATATTTTTTTTCAATCTGGAGCTACTTTAAATATGATCTAAAGATATACTGTAAAACATAAGTCTTAAATAAATACTGGTTGCAAACATAATGTGCTTAGTTGTTTTCCTTGTGAGTAAATGAAATGTTTTAAAGTTCCTCAAAATCATGTCCACTTGTGTTCATTGTCTCAGGATGCATGACTCGCCCCACGAATAGAATTGTACCTGTATTGGATTGGAAGTGAACAATTGAAGGAGTGAGCAAAAAATGGGCTTAAAATTAAAAGCGTGTTAAAAAGTTAAAATATGGGGATCCAGAGATAGCACAGGAGCAAGTCTCTTGATTTGCACCTGCCAACCTAGGTTCTCTCCCTTGAGCACTACCAGGAATCAGTTCTGAGCACAGAATAAGGATACATACATCTTAAAATATATCTGGGTGGAGCCCAACCAACCACTACCCCCACGAAAAAAGAAGTGAAATATATAGTATTTTCATTTTTAAAAATATTTTGAAGGGCTAGAGAGTTAGACAGCTTATTTTATTTTATTTTATTTTATTTTATTTTTTCAGCTTTTTGGGTCACACCCGGCGATGCACAGGGGTTACTCCTGGCTTTGCACTTAGGAATTGCTCCTGGTGGTGCTTGGGGGACAATATGGGATGCTGGGAATCGAACCCAGGTCGGCCAACACCCTTCCTCCTGTGCTATCGCTCCAGCTCCTAGAGAGCTTAAAGGGCTGGATTCCACGCCAGCTGGGAGCCCAGGACTGCATGCCACCCTACCAAACCCTGGTCTCCTGAGTAGCCCCACTTAGAACTAGGCTCAAGGATCACTGAACCATCTGGCCTAATTGACTAAGAGCCCTCCCACTGCTGCGGAACAGCCATTTGAACACTAGGAACTACCTAACAAATGTGGATAATTTGTTCTCACTTTTGGATTTTTTAAATTTATTGTTTATTTATTTTTGGACCACACCCAGTGGTGCTCCGGGCTTAATGACTGCTGGGAATCAGGACACCATATGGGGTGCTGGGGATCAAACCCTGTTCAGCAGCATCCAAGGCAAGGCCTCTAGCTGCTGTTCTGTATCTCCAGCACCACTCACCTATTTCTCTTGGGTCTATATAATGAAATTCTGTTCTCCTAATGGATTTACCTGTTTTTCGGATCCTGATAAGAAAAAAGAATGGATGGTCAACAATAACTTGAGGATACAGTACAGCCATCCTACTGATTGCAATCATTCCTACAAAGCAGAGAGAGAATAATTACATGCCTGAGGAAGTGTAAGGACTGATGAGTAATTCCTCCAACTCATCTATCTATGTTTAATGCAAAAGCAGAGAATTACAGCAAACAAGATTTTAAAGATTTAAAGAGGGAAAAACTGTAATTACGTTAATATTTCTATTTGTTATTTGAACAAATATGCCATCACACATGATAGTTTCCTTTCTCTATGTCACCAAAATACTATGACGATTCATTCTGCCTATTACAACATGATTAATTTTAAAGAAATATTTGTCATTTTTCCTTTACTAAAATAACCTTTGAATTAAGGAAAGGAAGAATTTTTTTAAATAAACAATCAAAAATACACTCAAAATAAAAACTTAAGGCCATTTCTTAATAATTTTAAACTTATTTCTTTAGTGTAAAGTGGGTATTTTTCCGCAGTAAGTTTATAGGCTTCCAGTAAGTTGCAATAATGGCAGTGATAAAAGGAAAAACAGACCAGTGACAGAAGAGATGGTGTTCCCTACAGCTGGGAAACATTTCATACTTGCTTAGAGTGACTCATTCTCAGGAAAAGGTCAAGATTAAATTATGCAAGATTTGAAGCTTTCTTGTTGACCCCTGAGAATATTCTATTTCCTTCTTAAAAAAACAATTTTAACTTGATGATATCCCTCAAAATTAGATAGAACATGTGCAGACAAAATTATGCTACTATTTAAATTTAGGGGAGGAGACTGGGGGGAGACTAATTTTATCAAACTGTTATGATAGTTGTTAACTCTGACATTGAGAAAAATCCAAAAATATAAAAGGAGGAAAAGAAAAGCAACAGAAAAATCATTCTCACTTAACTGGAGAGTTCAGACCTCACAAAATGATCAAGGCCATTTAGCATGTTGCTTTGGACATATAACTTTGTGAAAAAAAATAATTATTTAAAATTACTGTTTTAATAACATTTCTTTAATGTGTATCTTTGCAAAGTTATATAATCTTGTTTGCTTTTTCAAAAAGAATCAAACTTTTCATGAACAAAATTAAAAACTGTCTTAAGAACTAACTGCCTTAATTAACTGTTAGTTAATTACTAATAGGTAATTAAGTAGGAAAAATATTTAAGTGGGTAGCACTGTAGCACTGTAGCACTGTTCTCCTGTTGTTCATCAATTTGCTCGAGCAGGCCCAGTAACATTGGGAGACTTGTTGGTACTATTTTTGGCATATGGAATATGTCACAGGTGGCTTGCCAGGCTTTGCCATGTGGGCAAGATACTCTCAGTAGCTTGCCGGGCTCTCCAAGAGTGGCCCAGGAATCAAACCCAGGTCGGCTGGGCCAGCCACGTGGAAAAATATTTAAAATAGATAAACAGCATCATAGTAGGAAAATCTATTCTATGGAGCTTCCAGTGTTTTCTGCCTCTCATTAGAAAGAACACAGAAGGAGATTTCTGCTCATCAGGCCACCGGGAGAGTGACTGAATGCTCCATGGCTTAGAAAATTCCTAATGGTTCAGTATTAGCCTGAGACTTCTTAGAGCAGAACCAGAATAGTCCATTGTTTACCTTGCTTCTGAAAACAAAAGTCAACGCCCCCCCCCCCCCCCCCCCCCCGCCCACTTCCTTAAAAATACAAATCTAGAAAAGGTGAGATTTGAGAAAACATCTTAGCACCTGAGGTGGCAGCAGCTTCGGAGCCTTCTTCATTAACCTCGATGAAAGACTTGTGAATCGCTTTGGAAAGGAAAAGCTCTTTGCTATCTGCAAAACAGACACAGGAGAAGCACTCATTCAGTAGTAGAGGTGGAGAACTGTTTACCAGCAGATTATTCTGATCTGAGGAATATCTTGTCATAAGATACTGAGACAAAACATAAGAGATAACGGTGTGAGACTGAATATGTGATTTGAGAGAACCATTGAAGATGTTTTCAAAGCCTTTTGTGTTATTTTGTAAATTTTCCCACTCTATTTCTTACAGTGCCAGGAAATCTGGAGACTTGATACTATTTTAACAATGACTTAATGTTAGTTCATAATTCAAGACAGAAACATATTAAATGTTTAAAATCTACTTTAAGATCTAAAACCACAAAATATAAAGGTAGGACTCCAGATATAATTCTGAATAAGAAATGTCAAAGAGCTAATTACAGTGATAATGTAATTATACTTGGAAAAGAGAAATAAAATTGATTTCTCATTTACAGAAATGTGGATAATTTTTTAAAAGTATTTTCCATGCCAAGTAAATTATTTACTAAGGAATAAAAAGTATGCTTTACTGTAATGTAAAAGGAATTAACATTTTCAGCATTAGGCAACTTTTTTTTGTTTGTAACTCTATTTAAGGCTATTTTAAGTTAATAGCTATTATAAAGTGGATTAGAATTTCTCAAAATTCATTTATTGAACTCACAATATAAATTTATTGGAGATAGTATTAAAAAGAGGTTATCAGGGTTGGTCTTGAAAATTCAACATGGTTGATACCCTTATGAGAAAAAATCTGGACACAAGCATAAAGGTCATGATAAGATTTTTTGGAATTAAAATACCATTAAATAAATGAACTTTGAATAGACGTTACTCTCAGGATATGCAGGGTCTCAACTGATCAGTAATGTTCTGAATAGCAAAAAATGACCTCTAAGCAAAAAAGAAATTCTGACCTTTGACTTTGGAGACAAACTGAAACTTCTCCCTGGGTCTCCAGCTTGCCAGTTATCTATTCTCTGCAGATTTTATATTCCAAAGTCTCCAAAGTCCACTGAGCCTGTTTCTTAAAAGGAATCTCTCTCTTATTCTGTGCACACACTTATACACATGTAGATACATGTATCTTTTATTATATTCTTCTCTGATGAAACCATTATAATACAATATGTGAAGACACAGGGTAAAGACAGATCTCTATAAGTCAAGGGGGTAAGTTTCAGGAAACAAAACAAGATGAAAACCAGCCCCAAGAAGCCTTGATTTTGTACTTTCAACCTGAGAACTGTGAGAAAACCAGTGGTGCTTTGTTGTGGAAGGTCTGGCAAAATACACAATGACCTCTTCATTTTTTTAAAAACATAGTTTCTAACAGTCAGTGAGTGTTTACCTTGCCATCTCAGCCCTCTAAAATATTCCATGCAGACATCACAAAGACCAAATGATATTTCAGTCAATTCAAAACTACCTCAAGAAGCCCAAGAACCTGATTTCCCAATTGCTCTGGGCACATAAATATCCTCTCTTCAACTCCTAGATGCAGCCTTTGCCCAAAGCTTTCCTTCTAGCCTTCTATCATGGTACACACTCTCATTTACCTACACAAAATAGTGGGAGAAATACTGGGAAATAGTTGATGAAAGATCGACAAAGCAAGGATGTTGAGGGTTCTTCCCCAAAAGCTAGTTATTTAAAAAATAATAAAATAGAATCATGAAATAGAAAAAGATGTTGAGAAAATAAATAATATTAAAACTGGAAAAGAACATATGTAAAATACAGTTATTTTTTAAAATACAAAAATCATACTGTTGTGGGGGGTGGGAAGCAGAAAGATACCACAACAGGTAGGGTGTTTGATCCCCGGCACCACAAATGGTTCCCTGAGCTGTGATAAGAGTAATTCTTGATGACTACATTAAACTAAAGAAGCTTCTGCACTTCGAAAGAAAGTGACCAAAATACAGATAAAGCCCACTGAATGACAAAAACCTATTACCCAATACCTATCAGATAAGGGGCTAATATCCAGGATATACAAGAAGTTAGTAGAACTGTACAAGAAAATAACCTCCAACCCCATAAAAAAATGGGGAGAAGAAATGAACAGAGACTTCCTCAAAAAAGAAATACAAATGGCAATAAAAGGCACAAAAAAATGCTCTATATCACTAATCATCAGGGAGATGCAAATCAAAACAACAATGAGGTATCATCTCACACCACAGAGACTGGCACACATCAAAAAGAACAAGAATGACCAGTGCTGGTGTGGACATTGGGAGAAAGGGACTCTCATGGTTGGTGGAAATGCTGACCGGTCCAGCCTTTCTGGAAAACAATATGGGCATTCCTCAAAAAACAAGAAATTGATTCCATATGCTCCAGCAATACCACTTCTGGGAATATATCCCAGGGGTGCAAAAAAGCACAGTAGAAATTAGATCGGCACCTATAGGTTCATTCAGCACTGTTCACAATACCCAGAATCTGGAAACACCCGAGTGTCCGAGAACAGACTAGTTAAAGAAAATTTGGTACAGCTACACAGTGGAATATTATGCAGCTGTTAGTAAAGATAAAGTCATGAAATTTGCTTATAAGTGGATGAACATGTGTAATCACCGGGCGACTAAGAAAATCCTTCGTCTCTCTCTCACTGCCTGTGTTTGGTGGTCTCGGGCCACTTCCCCCGCCGGAACAGCTGATGCCATGGGTGGATGAAGGACGAAATGAGGGCCAGGCTGTTGGAGATCAGTTGCTGTTTATTCCATGCTCCCCACGCACCTGTTCCAATCTCACTAAGCCCCTCATTCCTGTCTCCCTCGTTCATCTCCCCACGCTCATCTCCCACTTCCCCGCCTTGATCTCTCTCTAATCTCTCACCAACTTCCAACCTTGGCGGTAGCAACCACACACTCATGTAGCATAATCATTATATCAAAGTCCTTCTTGATCACTGATCAGGATCAAGGGCAAAATAGCAGTTAGAGGTTTTTCTCCTTTCCTTAGTCCAATAACTTAATCAACATCTTAATTATAATTTTAATTCGACTTCTTAATATGAATTATTTTGTATGGACACAGTAAGAGATACATTAAGCTTGTGAGGTGGTTCTCTTGGGGACATCTCGCTATGGATCTCAGACTACAGTGCTCAGGCCATTTAATCTTTCCCAACTCTAGCAGGGTCCTCATCTAGTTGTTACTTTTTGGATCATGACAGAATTTGTTCATGACCATGCTCTTAACTTATAGTTAAGTATTATTGTGCTTTTACCTGGCCCATTTCAATGCCAGGATAGCTCAGAGCTTGCCCTGGGTCCATCCAGTCCCTCATCGGGACCCTGATTTTGGGATGCTAGGAAGTAAGGGCAACTGAGGCCTAAATCAAGAGAACAGATGCCCAGGAGTGAATAATATTCAGAGTCAATTAACTCCCAAGTTACTAAAGCATAGCATTAACTGTCTTCCTGTGTCTATACAAAAAGGATGCTGCTTTGAATTAACTATGCAAAGGACATAAGGAGAAGAGAAAAGCAATATTTACAAGTTAACAGAGTCTGATTAGGAAATAAAAGCAATTGACCAATTGGGGAGCCAGAGCACAAAGAAAGAGATTACAGATAAACACAAAGGAACGGGAGCACTATGATGGGAGTAATCCAATAAACCTAAGCTCCCTGTGGCAAGGCAGAAAGGACAAACCAATGTTATCCTACAGACATGGAGAGTAACATGCTAAGTGAAATGAGTTAGAAAGAGAGGGACAGACATAGAATGACTGCACTCATTTGTGGACTATAAAATAACATAGCATGAGACTGACACCCAAGGACAAACGTTGGTTTGTCCTTTCTGCCTTGCCACAGGGAGCTTAGGGTTATTAGGCTACTCCCATCACAGTAGATACAAGGTCAGGAATATTGCTCCACAGTTGGAAACCTGCCTGATGAGCTGGGGAAGAAGGCAGCTGGAATAGAAAAGGGATCGCTAAGTCAATGATGATTGGAGGGATCGTTTGGAATGGGAGATGTGTGCTGAAAGTAGATAAAGGACCAAACTTGATGGCCTTTTAGTATCTGTATTGCAAATTGTACGATAACATTTGTTCATTCTTTCTCCTTCTTTTCTCCCTTATCTCAGGGAGCTTAGGCGAACTGTTTTACACCCATTACAGTGCTCCTGAGGCACTCCCATTCCTCATTTATCTTTACTTCTCCTCTGTGCTGTTTCCCATATCTGCTAATCACCTATACCCCCAAATCAGACCCTGTAACTTTTAAGGTCAGGTACTTCTAAGGACTCTGGATTTGTATTTGTAAGTGGAATATTGCTTTTTCTCTTTCCATTATGTCCTTTGCATAGTTTAGTTTAGAGCAATGTCCTTTTTGTATAGACACAGGAAGACAGTTAATGCTCTGCTTTTGTAACTTGGGAGTTAATTGACTCCGAATAATATTTACTCCTAGGTGTTTGTCATATTTATTCAACTTAAGCCTCAGTTGCCGTTAGTTCCTAGCACCCCCAAAGCAGGGTTCTGACAAAAGGATTGGACGGACTCAGGCAACCTGTAAGCTATCCTGTCATCAAAATGGGACATGCCAAGTGTTATAAAACGTTAACAAAAAGTTAAGAGCATGGCCATGGACAAATTTTGTTATGATTTAAAGAGAAACAAATGGATAAGATACCTGCTGGGGTTAGAACGGACTAATTTGGCCTGGGGACTATAGTCTGGGATCTATAGCCAGATGTAGCTAGGAGAGCCACTCTACAAGCTTACTATGTCTCTTACTGTGCCCATGCAAAATGACTAATATTATTAAGAAGTGGAATTAAGATGAATGTTTAAATGGTTATTGGACTAAGGAAAGGAGAAATACGCCCCTAGATGGTATTTCACTGTTAGGCGGGTCACCTTGCTGGATGAGAATTTGTCCTAGAAGAAGTTTCCCCGAGGAAAGGACTTTACATCTGTTGATTGAACAACCACAATATGTGCAACTGCTAACCCTAATCCTTCAGGGTATGCTCTCCCCATG